TKCATGTTTATTGCAATACACATGACATTGCTGCACATTGCTGTATTGCATGTTTATTGTCAAAGTTTACTTGTTTTGATAGGCGAGCAAACGACTCTGGGTGACCTGCTGAAAGCAAGTGTACCAAATCTCTTGTCTGGAAATGACCTGGACAGTCAATGGCGAGTTGTCATTCACGGCATCGAACCACCTCTAGAGACCCCAACACAGTGGTTAAGCGAACATCTYAGCTATCCAGATAATTTCTTACATATTATCATTGTTTCCAATCTATAACTCCCTATCGAGATGAATAATTCAATAATTTGATAATTTACTATTTTACAAGCAAGCAAGTTCTTTGATTCCCACATTGACAGAAGAGGCAATGATCATACATGTATCTTTAAATTGAGGATTTTACCGAAATTCAAAGTTTGAGAGGTTTTGGTATTCAATGCCTTATTAAATTCACAAACTATTATTACAACAAACTATTACAGTTRCTTTGCCTAGAGACGATGGGAAGCAAGATGTAGAAAAGCAAAATTCAAATGAAAAAGGAAATCGCCGACTTGCGAATTTTGCCTCGGTAGTCACACACAAAGGAATCAAGACGAGAYGCCGTGCATAAGGCTCGATCATTCGCCTCGTCTTGATTCTTTTGTGCTTGACTACTGAGKCAGTCGCAAATYGGCTATTTCAGCGCGATATCCTATAATATTATACCGACCAAGAAGTAGTTCTTTCTCGACGAAAAACTTTTATTATGTATTGTCTTAACCAGTACTTACTATAAAATCTCAATAAAACTTGTACGTTTTTGCAGCTTCAGTGGAGTTTTTACGGACACTACGACTATTAATATTATTTCAAAAACTCATTAATTATTCATGAGGTATCTAGCCAATCCCTGTTTGTAATTTGTACCACGTGAAGTAACTTGAAACCAGAGGAAGTACTCGTACCTTGTATTCTACCTTATTTCCAGTTACTTCTACCTTTTTCAAGTTACTTCTACATTATTTCCAGTTACTTCTACCTTATTTCCAGTTACTTCTACCATGTTTCCAACTACTACTAGCTAATGATAATCAAATTATTAGAAATAATCAGTTTAACATTAATTTAGTGAAAAAAGGTCTTTGATACATGACTCCCTCACGACTCGATCCCCTACCGTCCAGTCTATATGCGCCGTCTTATACCATTACGCCACCGAGTTTCTGATGCGATTCCTCGGAAGATAACATACTTATAAATCTTATGGATTAGACTCATTAGGAATGCCATGAATAGCAGACAAAGACAATTTGAATAGCTTTTGTTTCAGAAAGCCGTCCGGGAATTGAAGAACAACAAACGGTGCTTCATGTATTCAAAATTATGAAAACTGAAAACCTTAGTGGAGATGCAATAAATCAATATATTTCTGTTATATGTATTTCCTTCGCTTTTTTTCCCTCCCGAATAATTAATGAGTTTTTGAAGTCGTTCAAAGGCCTCCAATTCGGACTTGACGGGATTTCAAAGTCCTTGCAATTAGTTCCAGTCCTCGGCTAGCGCCTCGGACTGGAACTAATTGCGCGGACTTTGAAACCCCGTCAAGTCCTCATTGTCGGCCTTTAAACATTAC